AGTAGCACATCCATTTTCCTCATGGAAAAGCAGCCCAGCTGCCTGGTCACTGACTGCTTCCCCCTGCAGATGCCCTTCAGACAAGCCCACATCGCCGCTGGCAAGGCCGTCCACCTGGCTGAGACCAAAGGCATCACCATCAACAACCTCAGCCTGGAGGACCTGAAGAGCATCAGGTTTGTATCTCTGTTATTTCACTTCCCTGCACGGAGCAGCAGCCCTGATCAGCCTTCCCAAAAGTGCCTGGGCCGGGCAGAACCTCAACATCCTGAATATCAAGGCTGCTCCTCCTGGGGCTGGAAATATTGAAAGGAACAACATCACCTCCATTCCACCCCCCAGGGCATGGGCAGGAGCTGTTGGGAGGGGCTGGGAGACACTTCTGCCCTAAGCAGGGAGCCCCCAGAGGGGTTTGGCTCTGAAGTTGCTCGGTGTCCCCTTGGAGCTGATGTCAGACAGCAGAAGCGCAGGAGCGTTTCCCTTGGGGAAAAGGCTCCGTCCTCACTCCCTCAGCCTCTCTGCAGGCCCTGGGCAGGTGGAGCAGCCCAGAGCCCCCTGACAGCCCCGCTGTGCCCCCAGCCCCCTGTTTGGCAGCGACGTGGCGCAGGTGTTCAGCGTGGTGAGCAGCGTGGAGCAGTACACGGCCGCGGGCGGCACCGCCAAGAGCAGCGTGTCCGCCCAGATCGAGCAGCTGAGGGAGCTGCTCAAGAGGCTCAAGGAACAGGCTTAGAGTGTGGGGAGAGATGCCGTGCCTGCAGCGTTGTGCCTGTGCCACTGGTCTGGAGTTAATAAACACTGGGGTGTCTGTAGTTCACTGAAATTCCGCTCTCGCGTCTTGATTCTTCGGGGTGAGGATGGGCCGAGCTCAGCCCAGGTGTGGAAGGAGGTGGGCTCTTCCTCCCTTGCAGCTGGGGATGTGTGTCTTGCAGGAGAGGCTGGCACACTGGCATTGTCCCTTTTTACTCAGCAACATTCCTTTCCCACCCCAGCCTTGCAGAGTTTAGGTTTTGCTCAGCCCCTTCTCCCGGTGCTGAGGCAGCAGCGCGTTGTTGACTCAGAGCTGCGGGTCTGGAACACACACAGGGAGATGAAATAACAAAGGTGTTGCCTCACCAAGTTTAGGGCAAGGGCTGCAGCACAGGCAGGATAAACTGCCAGCAGATAAATCTCTAAAACACCCCAGGAGACGCAGAGTGCTCGCACCTTTGGAGCATTTGTGCTTCTAACACGTGGGGAGAAAGATCAGCAACAGCAGAATTCCCTTTTTCCAGCTTCTCACCACTCTCAACCTCTCCTTATTCTGGCCTTAAAACAAATCCATTCTCTTGGCATTTAAACAGCACGTTTCAATTACCTTTCCACAAACCTCCTTTGTGTTTGCTCCTTTCCTTCCTGCTGTGTTCCTGTTTTGGCTCGTGTCTCACTCTCCAGACTGGTCCCCTGGCCAGGAAATCATTTTGCACACTCAGCTAAAGGAACAAGAAAGCCACAGGTACCACCAATACTCAACACCTGCAGTGTCAGAACAACAGAGATTTCCTCATCTCCCCCTCACAATTCTTTTTCCTCCCATAAACTCTCTTGATCCACACCACTCCCCTTATTTTTGCTATTTGTATCTTCTGGTTCCTTCTCTTCAGATCCTCAGCTGAACAGATTTTCTCTTACACCCAGCAGCAGAAGTCTGGCTTTGTCCCTCATGGCCAGTGCTGGGTGACACAGGGTGAAAATGAAAGGAAAATTATTTAAAGATTACCACATTTTAGTCTCTTACTGAAATAAGTAGTTTACAGTCACTGGTACTTCCCATCCATCCGCCCTTTTCTTAAAATTGTGAAATATTTTAGATTAGAGGGTTCTGTGGAGCTCCACAGATGTTACAGAGTATGTAACATCTTCATGGTGTCTTCAGAATTTTATAACATCACCATCACCCTGCTCTGACTCATTGGGATTTGGGCTTTGGTCTCAAAGCCCTGCTCATTACAGGCCACAGGAAGGCATTTGAGGCAGGAATTCACTCAGGCTGATTTTCAGCTGCCTCATTCTGGATGTAATCTCATGCTCACCATTCTTCCAAACCCTCAGCAAACTCCTGTCAAAGCCTGGAACAGGGCCATCCATACAGGATGAACACACACAAAAAAAGAAGCATTAAAAGTGAGGGACTCCAGAAGAAGAAGGAATCTGAAAATGAAACACTTCAAAGGGTTTTCCTCGGTGTAGACAGTGATGGTCTGCGCATCCTCAAGCCTGGGAGTCTGAAAAAGAAAAAGAAATAATCAGGAGTGGAAATGTTTGAGAAGCAGTGAATGAGCTGGTGGCTACAAACAGAGTCTGAGCTTTGTTCCGGATGGATACAGAGGGCACTACGCTGGAAATCCAGCTGTGAAAGGACCTGGCGGGGCCACCAGTGACAGCGGGATGTCGCCGGCAGTGTCCTGCTGCTCCGGACAAGGACCCAAGGACCTGGACTGGGCTCCTCCCCGGCTGAGTTTGACGGCGGGGCTGGGTACAGGGGACGAGGATCGGGGATGCGGCTGCCGGGTGTGCTGGGAGGCACAGGGACAAGGCGGGGCACAAGGACCAGCAGCGGGGCTGGCCCGGGGACTGCCCGCCCCGGCGGGACGGGCTGCGGGAGCGGGCCGGGAGCGGAACCGGGCTGGGAGCGGAACCGGGGTGAGATCGGGACCGGGCTGGGAGCGGCACCGGGGTGAGATCGGGACCAGGACTGGGAGCGGGACCGGGCTGGGAGCGGCACCGGGCTGGGAGCGGGACCGGGCTGGGATCGGCACCGGGCTGGGATCGGGACCGG